GAAAACTATAGATACATGCAGATTTCATTAATAAAAAAAGGTCCAACAAGATGTAGAATATGTAGTTTGAACATGTTTGTAACAAGCTTGTCTAGAAATATACAAAAGTAGATGTAGACACTGAGTTTCTCTATTATTGACTGGGATTAAATGTTTACATGACTCCACAAATCCTTCTTTATTCTATCTAATATAAATATTTAGTTAAGGCTACATTTATTGTGAATAAGTGAAAGGAAATATCAGGATGTTCAATGTTATAGAGATTTTGAAATTGGACTCACATTATACTTTGACATTAGTGATTATTGTAAGGATAACAGATTGAATGAAATAAAAATAAATCTCAAAAACTGTTTGTGAAATGAAAGAAGGGGGGGTTATGATACCCATTATTTTGTCAAATAAAATACATCCTGCAATAGACTGTCAAATTTTGGGGAGATCTTTTGAGGTAGGAATCTTATGAAGATTATAAACTTCAGATGCCGGTAATTGGAGATTGGTTGTTAAGTTTACGATATACATAATACAGACCAGACAATGTAAGTGGAGTTGTTATCGGGACAATAGTAGGACCACATTATTATTCTTTCTGTCATCTGAGAAAGTAACTTTTGTTTGACTGGGAGTGACCAAATTGCAAATGTACATTCATCCTATTATTAAAGATGTTTTTGTCCAGTAAACCATACAAATATTTAATGAGGTTCATGAAAGGTATATGGATATATTTTACAAATTCTTCTTTGGGGACAATGCGATTGAAACCTACAAAGTTCCCTTGAAATAGGATGGCTGATCAAAAATATATGAAAGAAGAAACAAATTAGAGAAGTCCAATGATTGATGTGGCTATTTGACTATAGTGTAAGGCTACACCTGTACTTTACCTCACAGCAGGATTTTTACAGGCCAATTTTATAGTTAAAAGCTTTTTTTTTATTTCCACACTCACAGTTTCTTTTCCTTTGTGTGATAATTTTAGGGTCCACACAAAATATTATTTTAACCATTTTCCCCTTGTCAAAAGATAACAGAATTGGCCTACAAGAAATGTTTGACTAAATTGAAAAGGCACAAAATTGGATTTGGTATTAAATTTGAGTGGAACTCATTTTATTTTAGATAAGCTAAATTTAAGAAACCTATTACTATAATTGTGATTGAGTGTTTGATATCAACTCATGTATTTATTCATTTTATTTTATAGTTTTTGTGTATATCTACTATTGAAATAAAGTCTATTGTTATGACTTATAAACAACACCAGAACATCTGTCAAACCACGCTTATAATTATTATTCCTGTAGCAGTTGATTCATTAATCAATGGAGGAAATTTAACATCATGGTCCATTTTATCATGGCGGTAGATCAAAGCTAGAGGAAATAGATTTTGTTTGATAAGTAGAATTATTGCCTTTATTTACAACATAAAACTAACTGAAATGAAACTAAATTTTCCAAATCGGCTCCTGTTGTTTACAAGCTTATAAGACCATATGGACGCTTTGAAACCTTTTGATGGACAATACGTTTATTGATGCACCCCATTTTTTCATTTGAATTTTACTATCAAGAAAATATAATAGTGAAATCAGTAATCAATAGTTTGGAAAGATAATGTTAGGATGTACTGAAAAGGTAAAATAGGAGGCAACAGTAAAAAGTGTACTTAAATGTATGTGAGTAATTTAATTCAACATTACAGACAAAGCAGCCTTATATAGCCAATCATTTTTTTTTAAAATGTTGAATGAAATAGACACACAACATTTATGCATACATTTCAACACACCTTGCACTATATATTTAGTTGTATTTATCTTCTACAATGTTTGGTCATCCAATGTTTTCTTCTGAAGAAGGTGTTAATATTGATAGTAAAAGTAGTAAATCTGAACACAGATTGTGTTTCCCAGCTTTGTTGAAATACCCTATTTATATACAGGGTTCTCAAAATCTACATGTGACAGGAATATAAATCTGTTAGTCAGGAGAATAACATAATGAAGAGGATTTAAAGATTAAAAATAAAGGTCTTCCACAAACAAATTCTTTCTTTCAATAAGAAGTTGAGTTATTTGATAGTAACAGTTAATTAGAGAGGAATCTAAAATCTAACACCAACAATCAATGTCAAAGGCATATAAAACACAATTACTAAAGATATTTCTTTTATATTAACTTTGAATACTAATCTCCAGGGTGCACTTTAAAGTGATGTACGGCCTAGAGTGACCAATGTCCATCTTCAAGGCCTGTAATTGTAGCTTTAATGAGGCATTGTCGATCAATTGTTGACCTGTAGGCTAAATGACAGGTAGAAATTTGTTGAATTGATCAATGTTCACCTGAGTGTATTTGGGGCCATTACAACGCTCGTAAAGTCTACAACTTTGACAACAGAGGGTATTGGTATTCACAGCCCGTTGTTGTCACAATCTTTATGAGCAATAAACCTTGTACACGGTCATTTACGTTAATCATGTACTTTGTCATTCAAGACTTGTAGTATTGCCTACTTTAATCAAAGACTTGCACTATAAAAGTTTTATATACTCAATTCTTCTCTCAGTAAATATCCATAATAATCACATTATTTGGTGTGACCTAACATAATGGAAGCTAAAACTGGCTTGATCTATAAAATATCTAAGATATACAAACTACTTACATACTTTATAGTTGGTATACATCTCTCCAATAAAGTTTTATAGGTTTTGTAAATGTTATATAAACAATAACATTGTGAATGTTATAAACAATATATATCTTATTCAAGTACAATGTATATCTTTATGCAAGGAAATAATAACATCTATATAACTTATAACCCAGGAAAAATGTCTTAAATAAATAGAACTGTATACATGTTTCTTAATTACATAAAAACATCTATAACATCTATGAATTTGCTTAATAAATAGAATTTTGTACATCTTACAACATGATAAAATCTTTAATAAATAGAACTTTCATCTGATATTAATTATCTTTGATAAATACATAGGTATATAACTTTATACATTTTATAACCTTGTATGAAATATATTGTATAAATATAACATTGTGTGAAGATATCTATAATGAATAATAACAAGATATTTTTGATAATACAAATGTATAAATTTACACTTCTTATAATATCTTTAATAATAAATAAATGTTAGGCACAGTTAATAAGCCAAATCTAGCAACAGTTACTGGATGAGTAAATTTCAGTAATTGATAGTGGCACCAGATGTTCCAGAACCTGATATTTATTAACTTTAATAACTATAATTTTATACATGTATAAAATCTCTATAAAAGATAGCCTTTGGGTAATAACAGGTAGAAATGATCTATTACTTGTGCTAATCAAGTTTACTCCTATTAAATGGATACGGCTTTCACCCTGTGACCCGTCTCATTTCATTTGCAAGTAATAAGCAGTGTGGTGACTAGATCATAATATCTATGAGATTTTCTCACATTATTAAAAGATGTTAAGGAGTCAAGGGTTAAGACGTGCACTTTATGACATCAAATCAATATACCTATGTTAGTGTAAAAGTATTGTTTGAATACTGAAATATCATAGTCCTGTATATAAATTGTTGAACACATTTCTACTCATAAGAAGTGGACTATGCAATATTAAAAATAAAATGGATTTTGTATTGTGGGATGGCAATCTGTCTTTGTTTAAAATTTTGGGTCCATAGATTAAGCCAAGTGATTAGATATAATAGATGACCAAATATGAAATAAGAAACAAACTGACTTCTGCTTAATCTTTGAAAACTAAATTGTATTCATGTAAAGCTTAATTAAGATAACACTCCACAGCACCTTATTCTGTACCATATTTTTATCTAAATCTAAGAGATATAGCTTGTTCAGATGTGTATAGAGGACACCCCATGGAAAAATCATACAAACTCATTACATATATACGTTAACATTGTCAACAGATGCTACTGGTAATAAAAAAAAAGGAGGGTGGGGGGGCATGGCCTAAGGTTCTCAATGCCCTAAAAATGCCAGTGTTGCTATGTATGTTCACATTGAACTTACAACTGACTCAAACTTAGTGTGGTTAGTTAACGCATGATATTAATAACCTCTAGGCTAAACACGGCTTACTTGATATGATTCTATTATGGTGGGATGCCTTCTCCATAATAATGATAAAAAATGAGAAATCTAGTTATAGCTTTTATCAGTGGGTTTGTCCAGCATCTGACAAACTAACGCAACTGTGGAAAAGTTGGCATGACTATAGAGGCCAAGCTAATATATGATGACTTTAATATCTTTTTATGTAGTGATATTTTGTTAAAAAATGATCCAACCTCCTGCTAAGATATCATCTAGCCTTTCTTTGAAGTCTTTAACTCGAAAATATACAGTTAGACGGGAGGTGGATCAGTTTATCTTTTACATACTTTTTAAATACATTGAATGTCTGACCTTTTCTTATGGTAAATGATAAAACGGTTGTGTTAATTGTACAGAAATATCTAAATACACATAACAGCAAATAATATGATAATATAAATAAGCCTCCACCTCCTCATTCTTCCCAATAATTCAAACCTGACTATTAAAATAAACTATATTAGCAAATTTGTGATAATCTTGCAGTCAGGAGTAAACATGATTAGCTAAAAAAAGAAAAAAATTCAAGATGATACAGACAAATATTTTTATGCAAATCTTTGTATTCTAGAGCAAAGCAACTATAACATTGCTAATTATTTTCTAGAACAAAGGAGTTGTTTCCAGATTAAAGTCAGTTGTTTTCTATGAATAAACTCAAAGTACTATTGATCCAAATAGGCATTCAAATTGAAAGTCCATAAAGTAGTTAATAGTATGGCATTCCAATAGTTGTTTACAAGATTCTTGTTTTCTTTTGTTAATATTGTATTATATACCAGGTATGGTGTATTATTTAATCCTAATTTTTACAGTATCTCTTGGTTAATTTTCTTTTTGTCTCTATTTCAGAATACGGACAGAGCAGAAAGGCGGAGCTTGGTGTCCTAAAGAAACTATTACCAAAGATACATATGAATATATACAGATAGATTTAGTCAATTTGACAGTGATAACAAAAGTTGAAACCCAGGGAAGATTTGGATATGGACAGGTTAGTTGATTTATTCCTTATTTTATTCCTAAATACAGAACAAACAGATATTCAGTAGTAAAATTACCTGTGTGTAATCAATAAGATTATGATAATCTTGTATGCTTTGATGGAGTTCATCCTCTTCACTGATTGATTATAAAAACTTGAGAATAAAGGTCATGTATGTTAAGCCCTACAATCAAACGATAGAACGGTCTTGTACAATAGATTGTAATAGATGGAGCTGGGTAAAATAAATGAGCAAGAGTTATTTTGATCATCAACTGGAAAATAAATGAAACCCCTTCTCCCACCTCTTACAAAAACTCTCCGCCCCCAAACCTAATTTATTGCACAGTTTCAAGATTTTCATAAATATCCGCCTTTTATGTAAATTTAGCCTCCTTACACACACACAAAACACTCTCCTCCCCCACCCCTAATTTATTGCACACTTTACCTAGTTTCAAAATTTCTGTGAATGTCACCCTTTAATGTAAGTTTAGCCTGAATATATAAGATAATATATCCAGTACATATAAGACCTGACGCTAGGTAATATAATCAATAAGGTAAGACTGTCACATGAACATCCTGACATTATTGATTTTCAGATGAGAAAATGATTATATGTCTTCCATTAGTCTTTATTGTCCCCCCCCCCTCCCCCTCCCACCTCTTAATAGAATCACTCAAATATTTTAACTTAGATACAAGTCTATAAATCTTAAGCTTAAAAGGAATTTCTTAACCCTTGTCTTGTATTGTTGTTCTGTCAGGACTTGTTTCATCATGTTCGTCCACAATGACATATTAATATTCATATCAGATAATACCAAGCTCAGCCATAGACACAACCTTCAACATTTCTGATTGTGCGAGAATGGTAGTAGTAAATTAGAGGGTGATCTGATTTATTGCGAATTTGTCTGCCATAGCAATTATCATTATAAGCTTATAAGCCTCTGTCCTAATCTTCCTTTCCTTTGTTGTCTATGCTCAGACTTAAATTCTCTCGCAAGAAGCAGAGTTTGGTTGTCAAGTGATCCAACGCACACACTTTTCAGCATAAGGCCTGTTCTCTTTGCAAGTGGTCATGGGTTGAATTCTACACTTGACGTGACAGGGAGTGAGGCTGTCTTCCTAACCTTGTGTTTTTTTTGAATGCCCTGGTTTTCTGTCACTTCTAAATAAAGACATCTGAAATAAAATGTACCACCATGTGTTAATTGCAAGTTATACCCCACTTGTCTTTCTCCATTGCAAGGGTATGTTGATACCCTCCAGAACATCTGATACCACTTTTTATTTATATATTTGATAGTTCCACATAGCTAAAATAGGTGTATTTTTGTATCAATGGCTTTATGTATATCAATTTGCATAATATTGGTTTAGTAAAGTATTAAATGTTTAATATACAAAAGCAGTTTTGAGAACTCCCAGAATGAGAAGTGTTATCACTTATCAGGTGTTGTAGAAAAAGTAAACATTTCTGTTTTGCTTTAATAAAAAAGGTTTTATTATAGAGAATTCTAAAGCAAAAAATGAAAAAAAAGAATAAAACATTATTAAATCTATGGCCTGTTCATTTTCCATAAAGATAAATTTGAACAAATATTTGGAATTGTGATTCATCCGGTAACTGAAATATTAATAAGACTAGATTAGATACAAGTATACTAGGAGACTCGCTTACATTAAATGTTTCATGTTGATGAACTATCATTGAGTCTATACCATCAGTTAAGTCAATAGTCCCGTTCTCTCTATATTTCAATAGAGTGATCGTATTGATAGAAGGTGAAGTAAATATCTATCAGAAAGTCATTCATATAAGATAAACACTTATTTCCCTCTACATAGACTAATGCACTATGAGTTACATGTTTCAAAGCATTATTGAACCTTAGCGGACAAAAAAATCAATGTGTTAGAACAGAGTTACTGCCCTTTGTGACCAGGTCAGTTTTTGTAATATAAGAGTTTTTTGTTCGATCCAATATGTACAGGACCAGTCAGATCAATGTTTGCTGCAGGAGATCACTTCAATTCTGCTTAGATGCTTTGCGTCGTCATTAGTCGTAGCAAAGGGTTTTTATTGATTTTATAATGGCTCCTGGATAACCAGCGATAGATTTTTCAAATCGAACGCCAAGCTTGTAAAAAAAAAATCTAATTACAGACTTGATGTAATATGAGAATTTATCTTCAGCTTTTTTTTTCCTCCTCGAAGCTTAAAAACCCAAGCTTGGGATAATTCTTATTTGTGATAGATTCAAGATCCTTTGGGCTATTCAACTGAAAAATTGAATTTTACTTTTTGGCTGAAAGATTTGTTATTTGGGAATTAGATATTTGGCAAGTTAAACTTAGTCGAGTATTGTTTGAATTCCCATGTAGAGCTGTAGATGTTCAGTTGATCATCTTCAGACCTCTAACTGTGAATAATTTGTTCGAAATTAGTTTCATATTTGCATTGAACAAATCTGGCTTGTTTCAATACCTCTCTTGTCTGATGGCTGTTAGTGCACGTTTGCAATCTATAAACTGAAATGTCACATGCAAAGTTCAATCAATCCAGGAAATCGATTGGTGCATTCAATCTGATGGAGGTTAATATAAGGTTAGTCTTGATTGGTCAATAATTGACCAATTAAATGTGTCGGGAGTGAGATGAAATGAAAGGGTTTTTCAGTTATATGAGCTTATTAACAACAATACTTAGAAAAGGTGATTTACATCTCTCTCTTTATATCCTATCCTATCGACTGCGTTGCAATTATCATTGAGCACAAGGAGAAAATTGAAGCCTTTTACAATTTATTGCATTTTGATTGCGATTTATTATTTTTTTTAGAAATGTATTGAAGAAGAATTAGGAGAGCATTTGATCATTGATAAGTCATTATTATCGTTTTACACATGTAAAATTGATAAAAATGAATGGAATGAAGTGTGATATCTCGTCAATTAAGACTTCACTGTAGGTCATTTTCAGAAGAACATACAGTTTTTATGTTCATAACCGGTACTACCATTATTTGTGGAATAGTAAGGAAGAAACTTCTGAAAAGTCAGCATTTTTATATAGATGTTCAAATATTCCACGGTGAAAGTAACACTAGTTAGCCAATCACATCAATGATGCACTTGCCATTAAAAGATGTGTGCGTATGTCCATACCATCACATACCAGCAATTCCCCCATCTGCCATATATGTAGCCTTGATTGGGAAAACATGGACTTAAATGAGATCAATGAGCTTAATTTAATCAGCGCAATATTTGAAATGAATATACCAAAGTATCATGTTGAAGAGATATTAAACCCCATTCCATTGCAAGCCTAGCAGTCATTCTTTGACATGTGTCCCACCCACTCGACTGCAGCAGTCCCGGGGATTTATAAAGAGTTCCACTATTACTCCACATGTTTCAGATTGGACTGGTAATAGTTATTATCATGCCAGCCTACAAAACAACATTTTTACCTATATTGATTTTATAATAAGGAAAAACAAATTTTTCCATATGTTAACTAACCACCTAATGAAGTTAAATAAGATTCTTGTTAGTTTCGTATTTCATCCAATTTTCTTCTTGTTTTGATTGACATTCAATGTGTATTTTCGGTGAAATAAATAATTGTGGTTAAATTGACAAATGTCAAGAAAAGGTTACATGATGTACAAATCAATTACTTCCACATGGTGTTGTAGTAAAAGTCATTTTATTTACTTATATGTTTATATATATATATTTCAGACTGACTTAGAAACATGACCAATACTGACTTTTTATTAAATCAAATTTTATGTACAAGAGTATGGTTATACAAGTCACAATTCTATGGTTTTCAACCTTGTCTTTCCTATCTCTAGCTCCACAATTCTTTACAGAACAAAGAACATAAAATAAATTTTCTAAAAGTTTGAAATGAATAATATTTTTTTTAAAATTTGAAATAGAACTTCATGGTTGATGTTCCAGATAATTCTACCTCAGGCTTAATCTTTTTGATTTACTGCCAAATATCAATATAGCCTTCTATACGACCAAGAAAAGAGTTGGGCATTTCCGTCTAATAACCATCAAAAATGGTTTACCTTCAGTGTTGGGTATACAATTTACAGTGGAACTGTGTAGTTCAGTAAGCATTTGTTCCTAAAGAACTCTTTGTAGAGTTACCAAGAAGTTGAGCTTTTTTTGCTAAAGACTGATAATGAATATGTTTAAATGAACTGAACAAAAAAAGTTTAAAGAATGAAAAACTGCAGATGACTATCCTGAAGGGTTTCCGTTGATTTTATAAATAAAATCTTCCACATGTGAAGGTGGGTTTGGTCTTTTGAAAAAAATTGTGTAAACATAATTTAGAGGATTCAACTGGTTTTCACTGTTCAAATTAAACGTGTATGATTCACAACATAATGGTTATCAATTGTCTATTTCTATTGAAAATAAAAGCCTGTTTTTTGTCTTGGAAGAAAGATGGTTAGAATACAGAAATGTCAGCTTGAACTTTAGCAATGACTATAATGGTAATGATAAATGGTGTAAAAAGGAAAATTGGAAAGTAGGATTTCATTACACTGTTTTCATTAAGATAGATTAATCATTTAAACTTTCATTTTGCTTTTAAACCAAATGAAAAAAACACTGAGTCATCAAACCTTAACTATTTGTCTTTATCAATTACCCATCATGCCTTGCTCCTATAATTCTTTCTAATCTCAGGGTTTTGTGAAGGATGCTATTGCGTTGTGTGCCCAGGTGTCCCACAAAACTGCAATCCATCACCATTGTCTAATGAAACATCAGTAAAACTCCTTGGCTTAACAACCTCCGAAGGATTTGCACAGTTAAAATTAGTGCCTTGCCCGTGTTAAGTGAGAACCGTACATCATTCTTATGAGTATTAAGGGTTAAATGAAACCTTATTCTGGCCTAACGTTTAATTTGAGCGTCTGTCCAACGTTTTTTGACAATCTGAATCTAGCATCTAAGATTTGAAT